ATTGAACGATACAAGGCAAGGTTAGTAGCCAAAGGCTACACACAACAAGAAGGCTTAGATTACTTTGAGACTTTTTCACCTGTTGTCAAACTCACAACAGTAAGATTGGTTCTGGCTTTAGCAGCCTCTAAACATTGGTATTTACATCAACTAGATGTAAATAATGCTTTTTTACATGGGGATCTAGATGAAGAAGTATACATGTCTCTTCCTCTTGGCTACAAAACAGAAAAACCAGGGCAAGTTTGCAAGTTGTTGAAGTCTTTATAGGGACTCAAGCAGGCATCTAGACAATGGAATTACAAGTTGACAACTACTTTACTTTTTTTGGGCAACATACAATCAAAATCAGATTATTCACTTTTTTGTCAAAAGTGATTCTGCTCATATCACCATCTTACTTGTTTATGTAGATGATATAGTCTTGGCAGGTGATGACATCCAGGAAATCCAAAATGTGAAGGCTCTATTGAATGCAAAGTTCAAGATTAAAGACCTAGGCCAACTCAAGTATTTTTTGGGCTTAGAAATTGCAAGATCTCAATAGGGCATTAATTTGTCACAAAGGAAGTATGCTCTAGAGTTACTAGAAGATGCAGGATTGTTGGGATGTCAACCTGTTTCTACTCCCATACAACCAAGCACAATATTTTCCAAGACAGAAGGGAAACCCTATTCAGATGTGCATGCCTATAGAAGCCTTCTTGGCAGGTTATTATATCTAACCAACACAAGACCATATTTATGTTTTGTTGTTAGTACTCTCAGTCAATTTCTTTCTAATCCTTTGGAAGATCACTATGCAGCAGCAATAAGGATCCTGAGATATATCAAGAACAATCCAGGACAAGGATTATTCTTTTCCTCCAACACAAAACATGTTCTCAAGGCTTTTAGTGATTCTGATTGGGCTGCTTGCCCTGACACTAGAAGGTCTGTGACTGGTTTTAATGTGTTATATGGTGCATCTTAATCAGCTGGAAATCCAAGAAGTAAGGTACTATATCTAGATCATCAACCGAAGTAGAATATAGAGCCTTAGCTTCCACAACATGTGAAATTCAATGGCTTTTGTATTTGCTCCATGATTTGAAACAACCTCTACCACAACCAGTTCCTCTGTTTTGTGACAATCAATATGCTATACAAATTGCAAAGAATCCAACCATGCATGAAAGGACAAAACATATTGAAATTGATTGTCATCTCATAAGTGATAAAGTTCAAGCTGGTGTAATTGAGCTCCTGTCCATTTTTACTTCAGCCCAACTTGCAGACATTCATACTAAAGCTTTGCATCCAACACAATTTCAATCTTTGTTGTCCAAGCTGAGTAGCTTGAGGGAGATATTGGATTTAATTATTTTCCGTTCATATCTGTGCATTTATGTTCATATATTTATATTCTGTTTTTATATTTATATTTCATTTTTATATTGTTTTAAACAGTTATATATATTAATTGTACTCTCTCGTTATATGATGGAATAATATACACAATTTTCATCCTTTATTTTCTCGTAACACTATATCCTTCAACATATAAATTTCATTGCATCAGTTTCTAATTTTGTGTTTATTTCTAATTTCACATTAAAGGGAAATGAAGATATTTATAACCATGATTTAATTTATGTATAAGGGATACAAGAGAAAAGATGAGATATGTTAATTTAGTTTTAATTTAAGGACTAAAATTGTGTGTTAAGAAAGGGATACAAGAGAAAAAAAGAAAGACTGATATTTTAATTTATTTTAAGGATTAAAATGGTTGTCTTCAGAATCTAAAAACTTGAGACTACATTTTATTTTACATAAAAATGAAAAAAAAATATTTATAAATCTTTTATTATTTTGAGATTTTTGGATTGAATGTTTGTTCAATTTGATATGGAAGTTTGAGTCCGTAAAATCATAAAAGGATAATTATTTTCCTAATGACCATACGAGTATGTAGGTAAAAAACAAATTCAAAGATTAGAAGAGGAATAATGTACAAATGAGATATCCTCCTAAACCACTATAGGTATCTTGCAACACAAGCAGATGGAGATGAGGTTGGTACGACATGAGTTATAACATGGTCTACATAGCATAACCAAGTACCATCAATGGTTATTGTGTTTGCCTCTGTAATAGTTTGTGGTGATCGTGGGATCAGTTGCTCAAAATCAAACTGTTTCAATACACGTTTAGGAAAATGTTGGTGAAGCATCTAACTAAGTTTGATCCATTTAGAATACATATAAATCACCATAAATGGACGAGTACCCCTATGTGACTCGTATAGGCACAAGATGACCCCATCGTATGCCATTCCATCCAAATATGACATGTCCTCAAGTAGACTCCAAGCCCGATTCCCTTTCACCCACCGTGTCATACAAGGATTGTTCTCATCGTAGGTGGGCATCACATGCCTCCTACCCATCCCAGGGAACTGCTCATAAATCCAATTCTGCAAAAACATTAATTAAAGTGTGTTATACATTCCAAAAATATATGAAATCAAAATGTAAGAGAAATGTTTACCTGAAAAAGAGTAGAATATTTAACATTTTTTTTTGTCTCAACAAAATTGGCATCCTGAGCTGCTATGGACAAGTGCAACAACGCCCCAAGCATATATGTCACAGGTGTGTAAGTATCTAAATAGCATCAGGTATGATACACATATAAGGGTGACACTTTTATTCGTGACAATAATGCATCCAATAAGATGCAACAAGTATGCCCGTGTCGTGCACTCCTAGTGTTGTTGCTCACAACACTCATGATAGACATCCCTCAACCAGCTCAGCCTAACTTTGGGACCACGTGCCAGTGTCATCTTAGCTTTAGCCCTAGCACGATTCACGTCCAAAAGGTCGACAATCACAGACCAAACTTCTTCAAATTCAAACGGCTCGATCTCACAAAATTGCCTTATAATAAGTATGTGAATTAGCTACAACACGTCATCTAGTATGATGGTCATCTCATCCACCGAGAGATGAAAACTATTGGTCTTAAAATGTCATCTCTCAACAAACGTCAATATCAATCCTTTGTCGATGTAATCGTACAAAATATTTACTAGAGACATTAGATCAAAATTCATCATAAAAGGTTTAATTATGATATAAGCCAAATTTATTTATTTTTTCCTATGGGAGATCCTTCCTCGATCCTACACAATAATAACATATAAAAAAAATAATTCAAACTACACATTACCAATTAAAATTCAAGTTTCGTACTTGTCCGACCTTGTCACAAATCATATGCAATATGCTGAGTGTAATTAGTCAGTAATGATGTGTCCTATGGACCTCCTGAAAGTTCACCTACTTCTTCTTCCTGTTGATCGACATGCTCATTCTCAACAACATGCTCTTACTGCTCTTTAGTAACATCATGTTCCTCATGAACATCAACATCAACTTCTTCAGTCCGTCCTCACGAGCTGATGTTGTAGGTCTTCTTCTTGTTTCACCTCGTGCTGAACTCTTATCACGATAAGTAGATACACCTCTTGTTCTAGCCATATCTGTGATCACCAAAATATACAAACAATAAAAAACAACAACAAAATATAAAATAAAAATTAGAGCACATACATTCAAAATTAAAAAGCAAAAAAAAAATTCAAAAAAAGACATTCAAAATTTAAATTTAAAAAAAAAATAGATTTCAAAAATTGTCAAAGCTTAAACAAATTTCGAAATCCAACAGAAACTTAACTATTTCGTAATTCATTTAAGCCTTCACTAACTTTCAAAATTTGGTTAAAGCTTTGTTTTTGTTTTCCATCACCCACAAACCACCAACATACATATCTCCTATTCTCTAGCCATTTATAGTGTTGAATTCAAATCAATATCACACATCTCAATCGCAAAATGAAATTCAAATCTATTGCTTTCCTATTGATGCAATGAGAACAAAGAATGATGTGCATTTAGTAAGGAAATAGAAGGATGAATGTCCAAACCTTCCTAAATCCGGCAATACACTGGCAACACACCAAAATATGGAAAAAACAAAATATAGAAGGAGCAGAAGAGAGAATGAGAGAAAACAAAACAAAGGAGAAGAGTCAAAATAATGGATGCAACAATGCAAGGATTAAGGGGGAAGAAAGGATGAGGATTATGGGCGCAAAAAATGGATACAACTAGGAGAACAACAAATTCAAATTTAAAAGAGTAAAGACAAGTAAAAATCAAATTTTATTTATTTTCAATAAACTCGTACCAAATTATATTAATTAATATTTGAGACACAAAATTAACCAAATTTGTATGTTAAAAAATATAGGTTTTTAAAGTTAAATATATTTTTTATTTTTAAACATTATATTTTTTTTCGTCTAAAATTAAATTATAAACTATTCCATCTTTTTGAATTTATAAAAGTTACATAATCTTAAAAAGTTATATAGGGAAGTTATATTATAACTTTTTTAACATGATAAATACTTCACTAGATATATTTCATGTAAAGTTCAACAACAAAATAACTTATAATTAGTATAAACACATATGTGCGTTTTTTTATTCAAGTAAAAATTTATTAAATTATAAAATAAATTTTATAAAAATAAATAATTTATATATATTTTTATTATGAAATAGTTTTTTGTTATAAATAATTATTTGAATTAAAAATAAATAATTATTAAAAAGTAAAATAATAAAAAAAATATTTTAATTTTTAAAATAATTAAATTTGATTTACAAAATGAAAATAAAAATGTAATTATTTCAATTTAAAATAAAAGTTAGTTAAAGTATAAAATTAAAAAAAAAGTTTGTACATAACAAAAAATCTCTTCTAAATAGATACAGACAGATCTAATTTAGAAAAATAAAATATTTGTATGGAAATAAATAAATATTTAATTTTTTTACTATCCTAATATCAATATTCTAAATCTTGAACCCATTATTTTTCCAAATAATTATAATCTTATATAATATCATATAAAGAAAATGGGGAACCAATATTTTTGAGTGAAGTCTATCGGGCTGGACTGATTTTCAGCAGAGTGAGGGAGAGAAAGAGGGAAATAGTGACGCAGAAGAACACAGTTTGATTTGCGGTGTGCACATGGACGAAGATCAAATAGAAGGTTGTGTGAGTGGGTACCTAAAGCAGAAAGGGTTTGCGCAAAACGATGACCAACTTCAACTTTCCAAAGCCAATTCCTCTCTTCAACCCGACACTCTCAATCGCTCTCAGTATTCACTCTCTCTATCTCTTTTCGTTTCAATTTTCGTTTTCAATTTATATCAAATTATAGTACTTCAACACCTTTGAGTCGCTAGGTATCTTGATTCAGAGTTTAAAGTAGTCTCACTCCTGAAAGGTGTCAATAATCAAAGCATTTACAAATTACTTTGATAATATGTATAGATAGATATAGGTAAATGGTTTGATTATTGACACGTTTCAGATTAAGGTTGAGTATACTCACTGCTTAAATCTTGCTGAGGTATGTTATGGGATGACTGAGAGATGTCTTTGTCCTTCAAGCATGTGCTTAGGAGTTTGATTTCTAGGCCTGTCTGAACAGAAAAAGAATTGTTAGGACTTTTGGGTTTTTCCAGGGGAGATTTGATACTAATGATTGGGAGATTATCTTTTTATCCTAAAGACAATAAGTTTGTGTCATTCTTATGTTATATTGCTCAGTTTGTTTATTTTTTACTGAATGTAGGACTTCTAGTACACTTGAATTTTTATACGCAAGACTTTTAATGCACTTGAGTTTTTAACAAGGGTAGATAAACTGAATATAGGATTTCTAATGCACTTAAATTTTAACAAGGAGAGATAAACTGAATGTAGGACTTCTAATGCACTTGAGTTTTTATAGATAGCAGTATCTTGAGTGATTAGTCTTCAACTATTGGGAAGGAATACTCCGCATTCACTGAAAAAAAACACAATTTTCAATTGTAAATTTTAGTTTTAAAATTTTAAATGTATAGAGTTATCGTTCCACGTTGTTACACATTGCTAATTCCTTTGGCCGTAAGCAGTTTTTCCTGTGCTCTTCAATGTCAATTTAGAGGGTGAGCTTCAATTAAAAGGATAGGTGTGTATTTTTACTTTTGTGAATGAGACAGAAAAAAGTAAATTCGTTAGGATTTTACAATATTTTATTTTTTTCAGGGAGGAAATATAGTATTTTGAACTAATGAAGAGGATCAAACGACAGTTACTTTACTTGGCCTATTTAAAGTGTGTTTTTAAGCTACAAATGTTATCTGTTCTTGACTTTTTTAGCATCTCACAAGAAAACTATTCCACAAATATGATTTCAAATTCTATTGCTATCCTTTATAAACAGTATCAAGTATGTAGGCTGAAGTGGAGGTTTATGTGTTTTCTTAGAATATAGTCATTAGTTTGCACGAATTCTATATTAGATTATACTTTCAACTCAAATATTTTCAGGATTATTTTTTGAATTGAAACCCTTTATTTTGCAGATTGGAGAGAGGTTCTGCTAGATACCACGACGGGTATGGCAGACTGAGATCATGGGCATATAGGTCACTTGAATCATACAAGGTAGCATGGCATTTGGTTACTGTCTTGTTTAAAGTTCATTCACGAAATTGCTATGTTTCAGTTTCTTACACATGGTTTGCCGTTTCTTTGCAGCATGAATTACTGCGTGTGCTTTATCCAGTATTTGTCCATTGCTTCATGGATCTTGTGGCAAAAGGGCATCTTCAGGAAGGTATGAAATATTTCTTCACACAGACATTTAACAATAATTATTAATATTACTTTTTATGGATTTTGAAGTTCCTAATGTGGCAATCAATGCATCATTTGTTTTATGCTTCTGTCACATGATTTATGATTCTGTCGGATATACTCAGCTTGGAACTTTTTCAATACCTTTCGTGAGGACCATGAAATGTTGCACTCACGAGACCTTCAGAAATTGGAACTAGTTCTTTCTCCTACTCATTTGGAGGTTAGTTGCTATCTGAAATTGATATCTTTTATATGTTTCTTGAAGTTATTAGACTGCTAGCACTATATATAATCATTCAATATTCTTTTTTCTCAGGAAATGGAATTCGCTCATTCCCTTAGGCAGAGTAAGTTCAACATAAAGATATGTCGGGTAATGCCTTTATTTACCTGGATTAGTTTGTTAATATTCTTTAGTTGAACTGTTTCTCAGTTACTCGTTTCAGTACTCATCAGATTAAGTATATTTTTCAGTTAGTTTCATAATCCATGAGAAGTTGGGCAGAACTTTTGTGCCCTTTTTGGGCCTTGTTTTTCTGTATTTGACTGTTCTCCTGTGATTTTATTTTCAATATACACACATATCCATAGATCTCCACACTGGTAAGATATTGTCCGTTTTGGGCTAAGATCTCACGGATTTGCTTTTAGTACCACTCCAAAAAGCCTCTTACCAAAGGAGGTATCTTATGTGTATATAAACCCATGCCTATTTCGTATTTTATCCGATGTGGGACTTTGTTTGTACCCAACATCCTCCCCTCAAACAAAGGGTTATGGTTCTTCTACCTCCCCTATAGCGGAAGTTTTTTGTTTTTTTTTTTCCGGTCACCAGACCTGAACCATGGGCTCTGATACCAGATGTTATGTAGGTTCAATATACACACATATCCATAGATCTCCACCCTGGTAAGATATTGTCCGTTTTGAGCTAAGACCTCATGGATTTGTTTTTGGTACACTCCAAAAGGCCTCTTACCAAAGGAGGTATCTTATGTGTATATAAACCCATGTCTATTTCGTATTTCATCCGATGTGAGACTTTGTTTGTACCCAACACTCCTGTGATTTTATTTTCTATTAATATTGGTGATGCTTTTCTCTTCGGAAAAATGCTTGGCTATTAGCATTTTGATTTGCAGCTTCTGAATAAAGAAAAGAACCATATACGTAAAAACGAGTTTTGGCTTTATTTATAGTTTTGCTAAGAATTTTCATCACTGAGGTCATTACGTTTACGTTCTCTATACATTTAAAAATCTGATGGTTAATGTGTTGGACGTCTGGCAGTATTCCTATGAGCTTCTATTGCAACATCTACATAGTATGCAATCCACCACAATAATTGGTATTATCAATGAGCATATTAGCTTCCAAGGTACTTTTCCTCGTTTTAAGTTGTGTGTTAATTCTGTTCATTTACTTTTCAGTTTTGCATAAATTTCATTCTTGTCACACTGCAGTTACAGCTGGGCAACCGAGCTCAATTTCTGATGACCCAGAAGCTGTTACCCTCAGTGGAAGCATCCAGGATGCAGTAAACCAGATAAATCAGAAAGAAATCCTTTGGGGGGTGAGTCCTTCAGTATATTCACAAAGCTAGACAATTTTATAAAATTATCTTCCTCTTTTTTGTTTCAATGCGTTCCAGTTTCTTAGTTTTGCAAGCTTTTGTTATAAAAAGTGTATTATAACAGCATCTATTATACCTAAACTTTCAAAGACTTAAAAATTGCTCACTTTTATCCATTTCACAATTGTAAACAATCAAATGAACTTTGACATCTGTTACATCCTTTGTCATAATTTCATCAGTGTACTTGGGTTCTGGAATACTAAGTTTTAATGAACAGACACTTTGATTGGGTCAGATTTAGAGTCATGACTTGTTTTCCAGAGTGGGAGCAATGACTCCAAAATTTGTAAAACTACACAATTTTTCTTTCCTTTCCTTTATTGTGATGTGTTGAAGGGGATTGAAGTAGCTGTTAGTTTCATTTAATAGTAAACAAAATTACTTGGTAAAAGCAAGGTCCTTTAGGTCGACTGACTTGTTTTTGAGTGATAGTTGATTATTGGATATGTACCCAATATGCTATTCAACCATGTAGAACTATCCATGCAGTGTAGGTGATAGGTTTCCGAAAGAGAAACCTAATCAAGAACGCTCCAAACACCACACGTAACAGGTACACAATAGAGAAAAAAAATTAAACTGAGTATTATTCACAAAAGAATGGTCTGTGCAACTACAGATACAAAGGGCTTAACCCCCTCCACATGACAAAGCCTGTCAACAATCTAACTACCAAAAGTCCCCCCTCCACTAAACAAACAACTATTTATACAACTCCTCTGCCTCCTATCCTACTCCCCTTTCCCATTATATCCACATATCCTATGTCCTAACATTACCCTCCTCTCCTTCAACAACCTTGTCCACAAGGTTGAACTCTGAACGCAGAATATTGATCCTGGATAGTCACCAGGTATAACTCCAATCCTCACAAACCCGAATTGTTGTTCTAGACGAATCCCAATGAATACCAGACTCAACATGTTAGCAAGCAAATGAATAATCCTAGCGTGTAACCAAATGCAAGTGACAAGTCTCCATCCTTGATGCCCGTTCTCAACATTATCCCACCGAAGGGCTCCCATCTTGGTCAATGTTGAAGAAGAAGGACCAAGCAACGGATTCTCCTGCCTAAGTTCGAAGGAGAACCTTCCAAGGAACTTGGCCACGCCGCCACCTTGGGGACCGAGGTTATTCTTGGGACAATTGTTGATGTACATGGAAATAACAAAAACAACAATATTAGCAACCACAAACATAGGAACCAACCATGATGTCCAATGGGTATCAGCTTCGTAAAGATTAGAAGACTCATGCGCATTGTAGTTTTCCTCTGTTCTGTTGTTCTTGGTTCTCCCATCGCCAGTCTCAAGATCTCCTCTGACCATAATTTTTTTCCTCTCGATCAAACCCGATTTCCAAGTCTCAAATTTTATTCTGTAAGGATGCTTTGTATCACGAGGTGGTGGCAGGCTTTCTCTCTCTTGAAACACCCCATAGTGCGCCTGCAACACTGTCTTTAATTCAGCTCGCTGTTCCCCTGTCAAATCCCCAGTCCACTCACCGCACCCCTCTTGCTCCACTAGGCCCAGATCCCACACTAGTACCCATGACTCAGCATCCACTAATTTCCACAAGGCCTTGGGTTCCACCAGCTGTCTGGAAAGCGCTGGATCACCCTTTACTATCACCTTCTTACCCTTCAACATATATTCCATGGACATCTCCCCCTAGTTGATCATAACCTTTCCAAGCTTCGCTAGCCATGCCACCCCCAAGATTACATCTACTCCCCCCAATTCGAACACGTACAATTCCTCCTCCACCGTGGCTTCCCCCAAATTTATTAGAATTTTTTCGCAACGTCCACGATATATCCTCTTGTGACCATCCCCAAGGCTCACCGTGTATGGGTTTGTATCAGTTACTGCTAACTTCAATTCCTCCACCACCCTCCGACTAATATAGTTATGGCTGGCTCCACTGTCTATGAGGACCACCACTCTTTTTTCTCCAATTCTCCCTGTTAATTTCATGGTTCTGGTTGGTGTTAACCCCTCTGCTGAGCAAGCAGATAGTTCCATGGGCTTCGCATCCTGGCTCACGTCTTCTGTCCCTTCGTCCTCCTCGTCTTCCGCCAAGAGCAGCACCCGCAAGCTCTTCTCCGAACAACGATGATCTGGTTCAAAAGGACCCCTGCACCGAAAACATCGACCTTCTTCCCGTCTTTTAACAAATTCTGGATAAGGTAAATTTCTTACCATTCTCCCCCGATTGTCGCCTCCTCCGACGGTTCCACCTTTCTCGTTATTCGCCGTCATCGAACCTTCTCTTCGGTTCGACCCACTCGCCTTCGTTCCTCCTGAACGGTTCGCTGGCTGTCGCTCGACCTCTCCTCGAACGATGGTTGTCGAGCCTTGCGTACCCACTGGGTTCACCTTTAAGCTGTTCCAACCTCCTCCCCGCGCTTTGGATATTGCGTCTTCCACGTCCCGCGCGATCCTCACTGCAACCTCCAATTCTTGAGGATCTTGAATGCGGACTTGCCCCTTAATTTCTTCCCGTAGCCCAGCCAGGAAAAACCCTAACGCAAGTTCCTCCGATAAGCCTTTGGTCTGACCCAATAATATCTCGAAGCTCCTGGTGAATTCCTCCACCGACCCTTCTTGTCGCAGCGTCGCCAGCTGCTTGTACACAGTTCCACGAAATCCCCCTCCAAAACGATTTATCAACGCCGCTTTTAAGCCAGACCAAGAACGGTTCTTGGCTTTGTCTTTCCAGATCTTAAACCAATAACTCGCACTACCTTCCATGATAATGTAGGCGAGCTCTACCTTGTCTTCCTCCACCACTTTCTGTATATCAAAGAAGCGTTCCGCTCTGTTGATCCAGCTGTGTGGTTCTTGCCCTTCAAACCCCGGTAGGTCTACTCTTTTTCTCCAATTCTGTTGTATCCCCCCATTATCACGTGTCTCGTGATTATCGTTCACCGAACTATTACCCCCTTCAGAGTTCCCATCATGATTATTAGTTCCTCCACCCATTAGCCTCATCAATTGTTGCATGTCGTGTCGTATCGCAGCGGTCTCCGCCTTGATCCCTTCCACCGTGATCTCAAGATTCTCCAATTGTCCCTCCGTCTGGCTCCATCACTATCTCACGCCCTTCTTAATCCGGCAGGTCGGACCAATTGATAGGTTTTCGAAAGAGAAACCTAATCAAGAACGATCCAAACACCACACGTAACAGGTACACAATAGAGAAAAAAGAATTAAACTGAGTATTATTCACAAAAGAATGGTCTGTGCAACTACAAAGGGCTTAACCCCCTCCACAGGACAAAGCCTGTCAACAATCTAACTGCCAAAAGTCCCCCCTCCACTAAACAAACAACTATTTATACAACTCCTCTTCCTCCTATCCTACTCCCCTTTCCCATTATATCCACATACCCTATGTCCTAACAGTAGGTATGCTTACAAAGGAATAAACACTAATTTATTTTAATTGAGATTTGTTAAGAACTGAATTTTAAGCCTAACTCAACTCCACAAAAACCGGCTTGTAAGATGTGGTTTGCACCCACTTATATACTATAAATTGACCTTATATCTAGTCGATTTGGGACTTCCAATACACTCCCCTCACGCCGAGATATATACATCTCGAGCGTGACACTACACATTAATGGGTGGTCTGACAGTGACCCAGTGGTCTGACAGTGACTCAATAGTGGGTGAAGTAATATGTCCACAAAAATATTGCTAGAATAGACTCTAACCTGACTCTGATACCATGTTAAGAAGTGGACTATAAGGCTAACTTAATCCTACAAAACCGGCTTGTAAGATGAAGTTTGCATCCACTTATATACTATAAATTAGTCTTATCTCTAGTCGATGTAGAACTTCCAACAAGATTCATTACATATGCTCATGAAACCTAGAGAACTAACCTTTATATTTATCATAATCTAACTACTTGGTAATGAGGAAACTAATCCTAGAGGATAACCTAAGACATAATAACATATTTTACATATTCTAAAAGTTATCATTCAGTTTATAGACTATGTATGTATATATGCATGTATATATGTGTGTCTTGTGAAAAAGTCAAACTGAGTACACTGGGAGGAAGAAAATAACACATTGTATTTATGGTCGCAGCCTACAATCATAATAGAGGCTCAAAAATAGGAATTGTATAGACATTAAGGAAAATAATATTACATCAAACATAAATCTAACACTCTCCCTTAAACTAGAGTACATAAGTTATATCTCCAAAGCTTGGACATATAAGTTGAATTTAAGGCCCTTTCTAAGACTTGGTCAAGACATGTGCAAGTTGATTGCTTGAGATGATAAATTTGGTAGAAAATTCCAAACACGAATAAAATGCTAGTTAATCTCTATATATGCTTACTTCGTTCATAGAACATTGGATTGAAGGAAACATGAAAAAACTGTTCGATTGTCAAAATACAACTTCAGATGTTGAATATCACAAATTTTAACACTTGAAGTTGTATAATCTAGGAATGACAATGCGGGATGGGTCATGTAGGCCAGCTTGCAAGAAACAGTGCGGGCCAGGCTGAGTATTTTGAGCTGCTGACATACTTAGATCGATCATCATTAGAAACTACATTGAGAATAACTCATTAATGAATGTGATAAAATATCTTGGCCCTAATGTGCATACAGTATGACTAGGACATGGAACATAAAATGGACTAAAGTAGGAGTCACAAAAGAACTACGAAATGTTTTCCTAATTGATACTTGATACAATGGATAATTTGGAGAGAGTTGACATCATTGTCACAAAATAAGGATTACCTAACTGAAATGTGCATAAGGATAGGAGAGTCCATCATTGAACAAGCATGAGTAGAGGTATTGTGTTGATAAAGCCTGTGTGACTCGCATCTAGTGCCAATCATCCACCCCAAACTCCAGTTTAAAAATGTTCTTCATTGGATTCTTTAATAGAAATATTTTTCTGATTTAAATAATTATGGTCTGATTTCAATCTCTATTATTTCCTCATAGATGTTTGAAGATTCTGTGGAAGACCACATAGATAAGGCTGGGGCCTTGCTTTCAGGCACAGAAAAGGGTGAAGGCGAAGGCAAAGAGGGAGACAATGATGAGAGTAAGGTACATCTGTTATTAAAATGCACCCCTGACTCTTTATTTTCATGAATGCTTTTACTGGATGATCTGATATACATTTCTCAGAAGTTATGCACTTGTAAAAAAGTTGAGCATGAGTTCCATTTGAATTCACTTTGATCACCTTAATACTGCAGATTCTTTGATTGTCAAGAAGTGTTAATTGTTTTTCACTTGTTTCTCTTTTAGAAAAGGTCAATTGATGTAGGAAAGCAAGGTAATTCAGTAAAAAAGGTAAAAAAGGACAAGGTCAGCAGTGCAACAGGGAAAAATGCTAAGCCAGAAGCTAACACTATATCTGCAGCACCTCGCATTAAACCAGAGATACCCTTGCCCACAGTGTATTCTCTCAAGTCTTTTTTCTGTATAATTGGCTTTACATATTCTGTGTTGGTTGTTGTTTAAACTAGAAGATCATCCTATCTATATATTTTATTACAGTGAGAACTGCTGAGTCAAAGTTTTGCTCTATTAAATAACATTGAAACCACAGAAAAACATTCATTAAAAATTTGTAGTTCTATTATGTTAAATGTTGTAATGTTATTCTTGCAGTTCAACTGATGTAGAACTGTCTATCCTAGACGATTTAAGGAATCGTGTACAATTGAGTAGTGTTGCTCTCCCTTCAGTGAACTTCTACACATTTGTAAATACACATAATGGGTAATCTTTTACACTTTAGCAGAACAAGTTTATTTATGTTTGGTTTTCTGTTGGGTAACACTTAAGTTTTTGCTCAACTACCCAGTTTAAGCTGTTCATCAATATCCCACGATGGGTCATTGATTGTTGGAGGATTTTCTGACTCTTCCCTAAAGGTTCTTTCTGTTCATCCTCCTCCTCTTTCCAACCTTTTTCCCTTAACAGCTTTATCATACAAGATAATGTGAACTTGGATTTATTATTGTGACTTGTGTCTGCAGGTCTGGGATATGGCAAAACTTGAGCAACAATCCACTGCTCGTAAGTTCGTTGCTTAAATCCTTTTGTTTAGACCAAGCTGAGTAAATTTGTTGCATACTTTGCTTTATAAACTTGAATATGACTATAAACAAGTTTCACTCACTACTATTAATTGAGTATGATGGTTATCTGTAATGTGCTCCAAGGTTCTAATATGACTTATCAAAAAACACACTTTTTTAAGTTTCTTATATGTATATGTATGTGTAAAAGTGTATGCAAAATATACAGTAGCATAGCTTCCTCATGGTGCATTTTCTTTTAGATTTTTTTATATTAAGAATTTGTAAGGGGTCAAAACTTGGTATAAAACGTGAAGTAAAACAGTGGATGCTCTATATTTTTCCCTGTAAGTAATTGGACATTTTCTATTAAAATGTTTGGGGGATTGATGAATCCTTTGGTCTTTTTTTTTTCTGGATTGTGCAGTGGATCTTAAATATCATTTAAGAGAGTGATGTTACTGTAATACACACACATGCATGCAACATATACAGTAGTAGCTTCCTTCATGGTGCGTTTTCTTTTAGATTTTTCCTTAAAAAGTTTTAGGGGAAAAAACTTTTGGCATGAGAATGTGATGTAAAAGAGTGTGGGTGCACTATTTGGCCCCGTAATATCTTTTTATTGGAAATGTTCTCTTGAAGTTTTAGGGGATTTATGTGATTACTCTGGGTCTTTTTTCTGGATTGTGTAGTGGATCTTAAATATTGCTTGAGTGATGCCACTGTAATTTGTATGCAATGAAATCCATCACTAATATGATTATAATCTTGATCAATCTTGTCCACCCACACATAAAACTGGCTTCTTGAACTCAAATATCATGTCTAATGTTAAAACATTGGGGTGTCTAAAAATATAACTGTTGTAGTTGAACGAAGTCTACACTGAGTTCCGGTTTAGCTAAATTTAAACTGATTGAGGCAATCTTTTAAGTCTTTAGGAATTCAATATGCTCAAATATGAGTTTATCTGTTTGCTTGCTATAATAGTTCAGTTTTTCTATCATCAGATTTTTCGCAGGGAGGGAATGACATGTCACAGAATGAACAAATTATTGGGCAAAATAGTGGGAGAAGACAGTATACATTGTATCAAGGTCACTCAGGTCCAGTCTATGCCGCCACTTTTAGTGCTGCCGGGGATTTTCTTCTTTCCTCTTCAGCAGACAAAACAGGTAAGTTAATTTGATCCCATTTGAGTGATCCATTGTTCTTTCAGAATTCTGTCTTCACCTTTGACAGTTTACTTTGTTGTTTCACATTCAAGTACGTGAAAATAGGGTATACTTGACAACTCCTAAAAGTAGTTTTTTATCAATTGACAATGTTAAATAGTTTACATTGGCAGTTTATAGAAATTAAGGTCTCTGTATATTTGTTGTATTTTTAATTCTGCAGTCTTATTTTGAACCATGAACGTTAATGCAGTTCGACTATGGAGTACAAAGCTTAATGCCAATCTTGTTTGTTACAAGGGTCACAATTACCCTATCTGGGATGTTCAGGTAAACTTTTATCATCTAAATCTTTCTAACTTCTATAAACTCGAGGGTAGAGAAATATTGAAACTGTGTTTCTCAAACAGTACGAGTACTTTATTTATATTGAGAAAAAGTAGTCAATACAATAATAGAGGAGATTTGATATTTTTTAATGATAAAGATATGATATGGGAATGACTTAAAACATCCTAATATATAACATTCTCGGTTATCTAGGCTCAACGCCTATAATTGTAATGGATGTCATGACATTGAACAACTCTCCATATACTCTAGGGATAATTAAATGTAATTGACGTGGGGCTGCCATATGATTTTTAGAGAAGTTGTATTGTTACAGAAAAATTATGTAACAACGAGAGATGAGAAAGAGAAGAGAGATACTGTGGGACGAGATGGTTGATGGGATGAAGAGAGAGAAAGTGAAAAAAAAATAATGTAAAAGATGTAATATTCTTAAAGTAATATGCAGTGTATTCTCTTCCAAATATACACCCTGCATCTTTGTTCAATACAAGTATGACCGTATCTTTGGGAATTCGTTCTCTCAAGTTTTATTTATGAAGCTTATGAAGATTTTCTTCCCTATCCAATGGATGTTTTGTGTCTCTTCTTTCCTTTTGTCTCACTCTATTTAATTTTGAGCCATTACTGTCTGCATTTACATTCTAGACTACTACATTATTTTTTTTTTCTGGTGCAGTTTAGTCCTGCAGGGCATTATTTTGCCAGCTGTTCACATGACAGAACTGCCAGGATTTGGTCTATGGACAGAACAAAACCTTTAAGAATAATGGCAGGACATTTGTCCGACGTTGATGTAAGTTCTTGCAGTTAATTTTATTCCAATTGTGCCTGTCCTAATTTTCTTCATATTTATATCATCCGCTAGTTGATTTCAATTTTTTTATTTACGCAATGATTGCTCCAGAAGTTCATACACGTACACAAGTTACTTCTGTTACCTTATGTTAATGTGCGACGCACTGCATTTTTAGAGTAACACACCTTATACTAAATTAATGTGCGACGCACTGCATTTTCCTTTACATTTAGCTCCTAGATATTTGAACCAATTGACAATCTTGCATTTATTTATTATTTTCTTTTATAGGGGAAGGGGTTCATGATTGTGCTGACTGTTTACTCATTCCCTTTCCCCTCTTTTGTCTGTAGATGGATTACTTTTTTCCTCAAAAAATCATGTTAAGTCACTTGAAGAATATTTTCAGTTATTGAATCCTTATTAATCATGCATTGTTTACCTGTTCTTCTATCTCGTTTAGTGTGTGCAGTGGCATCCCAACTGCAACTACATTGCTACTGGCTCCAGTGATAAAACAGTTCGACTGTGGGATGTACAGAGCGGGGAATGTGTTCGGGTTTTCATTGGTCATAGAAGTATGATTTTGTCTTTGGCAATGTCCCCTGATGGTCGCTACATGGCATCTGGTGATGAAGATGGCACAATCATGATGTGGGACCTCTCTAGTGGCTGTTGTGTCACACCTCTTGTCAGTCACACTTCATGTGTCTGGTCACTCGCTTTCAGGTGATCCCCACAAACATCCCCACTCAACATTTTTTCTTGATCATAGAAAGGAAATCAACAGGTATTTTAGGTTGCTATCAAAGTCTTAACATCGCTTCTGTTCTTTGTTGTTGGATGTGTCAGTTGTGAAGGTTCTCTTCTAGCATCTGGATCTGCTGATTGCACAGTCAAATTTTGGGATGTAACTACGGGTATAAAGGTTCCAAGGAATGAAGAAAAGTAAGTAGTTTATCTGACGAACCATCTCTTTAGGAATTTTCTTTTCTAATGGAAAAACTGAGCTCATATTTTTCACATTAGTAGAAGTGGGAATGCTAACAGACTCAGATCATTAAAAAGCCTGCCAACCAAATCTGCTTCAGTTTACTCTCTCCAGGTACATTCACTAATTACCCATTCTTTGTTTCATTACCCATGGTTAGTCTTGATTCAACTTTATAAAGATTTAACTGTGTTGTGCTCCGGAGCAGTTTTCTCGCAGGAATCTTCTTTTTGCAGCAGGAGCTGTTGCAAAAAGTGGTTGTTAGTATGTCAACAAATTTTGAAGTGGCAGTTCTGACGTAACACCAAAAAAACCTAATGTTGTGTTGTACAATATTTTTTATTTGTAAATTTATTAGTAAATTGAACTGATATTATTCCCTCGGCAAGTTCTGATAATACAGGCTATTTGATAATTCCCCATTCATAAATGTATGATATATATTGTAAAATTATTCAGAGATAGGATGAATTACTCTTAATGCTCAATTTGCTGCTTTACATCCTCATATGTGACCTTGTTTAATATTTTGTTGATATTGCTGCCCCTAGCTTTGAATGCTGCTAGGTTCAAAACTAGATATTATTTTGCCGTGATTATTGAAGTAATGTTACCATTATAGCAACATGGAATGGTACCCCTTGTTTATGATTAGTGCTGTCACTAAAACTTGCGACAACGTGTGTTTGCATTCTGATCATGTTATTTTATTATTAAGTTAAAATTATTGTTTATATTAACTTTAGTTTTATATTATTAATAATTAAGCATAGATAAGTGATTTATTTAAACAATGCTATTTTTTTAGCATCTTTAATTTAACGGAAGAATATTTTCAAAATAGTAGAATCTTCTGGTGAAAAAGGTATTATAAAAAAAGTATTATATACACAAAAGAGTAATTTCGGACAAAGTATTATATACCAAAAATTTAACAGTTAAATAATGTCAACATAATGTGAAAAAATGTTCACAAAATTAGATTTGCACCAAACAATGCCATAGGATTTCTATCAATTTTTCTTCCGATTTGAAACTTAAACACATATTTCTTGTGCTGATCTCAACTACATTTTAGTTAAATTCACCACATTAGTTAGTCGTTTTTTTAAATATTTTCTGAATAAAATTTGGTACCACTAAACGGTATTAGTTTTTTTAATTAACGTGATTTTTCATATAGTGCGCATATATATATATATATATATATATATATATATATATATATTACAAAAAGATGTTAAAATTTTGAAACTTGTGCCCTTTACTCAAAGAAATCACTAGCTACAATATTACATGAAAAAGAAACCTTGCATTAGGATTCTACTGTACAAACATTATATGTATTAAGACAGCATAAAACCTTCAATAATTGCATCCACTTCTAGGTTAGAGTGTCATTACACATTGTTTAGTTACTAGATTGCAGCAGGTAATAATAGTTTAATAGTAAAACTAGGAACATAAGTGGTTTATGTCAGGTGTGGAGGAAGCATGTTTGATTAAGGGATGCATATTATGAATAGAAAAAGGAATCAAAGAATCAAATCTCTGCATCAAAAGTGCCCATTATACCCTAATATCCAAAAAATAATCATAACATATATACTCTTTGATGAACTTTTCATACTTTTAGGAGAAAAAATAGTATCATTTGTATAAATTAATTTATATATTAACTAATTTGATTTTGGAAAATTTCCTTATTTTTATTTTTAAAAAGTGTTTATGAAAAAAAAATCAAAGTCAAATTTGATGAGTACTGACAAACGGGTAACTATTTGTCAATATATAATGTTAAAACACATTCTTTAGAAGTTAATAAGACATTGCAAACATTATTAATGATTAAGATCATCAAAAAATATACATTGTAAATACTTCACTCTTATATGAGTTTTGTTACTTTTAATAAATGGATATTAGATAAGATGAAAGCATGTATTAAACAGTATTTCGTTAATACTCTTATACAACAGCTTAAGATTGTTTGCATAAATTTTTCTACAACTACTCAACAAAAGCAGAAAAATTAAATAAAATATGCTTCCTAATAAATTATAATTAATTGATACATGAAATTTATAACAAAGATTGAATTAGTTTCTCTAAAATAATATTTTTATTTTACACATAAACTTGTAATAACTTATGGCACTTATATTTATACACTCAATCTTGATAATAATGGTTGAACTCGATAATGCCCCCAAGAAGATAAATTGACCAACTTTAATTAACAGCCACACATTTTCCAAATGCACAAAAGAATATACCCCACAGATATATAGTTGACTTATATCATGCTATAATCGAACTTTTAAAATAGATTATTATTATTATTATTATTAATTTACTCATTGAAAACTGGAGCTTCCAAAACGTATAAGCATAAGTATTTATAAGTATTTATGCAAGGGAAAAGAGAGAATAATTTGTCCCATAAATAGTAAAATTTGAAAAAAATTATCAATACATAACTAATCAGTATTAGTTATAATTTAAGCAAAAGTATTAAACTATAAAATAAAATAAAAAAAAATCAACCAAGAACTCCAAAAAAAATTTAACTTGAAGGTTGCTAAAACATCATCTGCAAAATGTTTCCTCCTCTTCATCCAAATTCATAAAAACATGTAAAGGTTTTCAGTAACCCACATTCCCACCCTGTTCAATCGATTGAGTAATCAAATTATGATGGCAATTCAAATTTGGAGTTTAAATATTCCCCAAATTATATCATAAATTTGTATTCAATTTTCAAGTCTAGCACATGAACTCAAAACATTATATGAAAATATATATCACTCCTAGCCATATATTATTAAGGCAGACACTAATACAAAGCATCACAAGCATCTTCCAAAAGCTGTCTGCATTAAAGATGCAAATTTACTATGAAGTTTGCATATCAGCAGGCATAATAATCAAGAATGACCACTAAGATCATATTCTCCAAACATGTAAAAACACAATATTTCATATGTAGAGAAAACATTACGGACACAAATTCAAGAGAAAAAAAAACCTCCTTAAAAGATCAAACTACAGTTTGGAAGTTATTCTATATCAAAGTAAAAAAAAAAAAAAAAAAAAAGTGTCTTGCATAAAGCAAGTATACCTTGGTGAAAGTCATGTATATGCTCCAAACAAAATAATATACAATTCAAGAAAATTGATATATCCAATATCATACATAAAAACTGCTAACTGTGCTTTCAGTGGAATAAACAATCTCGTCTCCAATACTCATTTCTTTTTTGGCTGTGTACGCATTTATATATGTTGAAATTCTTATCTGGACTGTTTCTAATGTCATGTGTGATGATCCTAATGATCATTAAAAAGCTTATTTTTTTCGTAAGAAAAATGTATATTAAATATAAACTACCATTTCACTGCACAAGATTGCAGAAGAAAGGCATTCACACAACTACAAAAGCAAATATCTCCAAAACAATCGTGAAAAACAAAATGCAACCATGTGAGAAAATAAGAACCCCTGCATAATTTTCTCAGCCTACCCTTTAACATTCTTTCCATTGATATAATATGGCCTTCTAACATTCGTTTGAGTCAGTACCTCAAAGAAAAACTGATCTTGAAGACATAGTTATAAGTTATGCAAAACTTTACTCATTATGCAGTCACAACACCTCTGTAGCAGTATTGGAGAAAATTATTCACCTTCATATAAACATTTACAAAGAAGATTCCTGTAAGCACACCAGTGATTACAACAGATTATGTGGTTTTTAGGCATCTGCAAAAGTAAGGGACAAAAGATGAAGAAAGACATTAGAGGAAATTGTCTATAATATACTCAGCCTAAAGCCCTTTGATGCATTGGATGAGACTTTTGTTGTTGTCTTGTTCAGATATATTATAACAGCAGTATACATACATGTTTTTGTAAATACAATAACTTAATCAGTATTCAAAAGTCATAGATATAGTTCTTAAGAACAATCTATTCATCTAAATTATGGTTGTGATTAATCCATAACAACAAATGATCATAATTATTAATCACTTCAAACAAAGTGAAACCTTTCCATTATATACACTATTTACTGCTGCAAATTTATTTTGGGTTGTCTTTGTGCAAACTGGGGTGTGTGTATTCATATATATTGTCTCTATCAGTATAACTATAAACTGATATATTACAGAAAGAAGTGCAAAAAAGGTAACTACAGAAAAAATATACCAAAATTAGTCTTACGTCATTTAAACTAACGACTACAAATTTATCAGAAAAAGTACATAAACCAAACAGAATTATGGACCATCAATCAAATCACAATAATGTAAAAGTTGCACAAATTAGCCAGTATACCTTGACAGAATCAGGAGATTGTGTCATTCATTCGCCAGCATCTAAAATTCTTCCAAGCCTATTAGTATCAACAAGATCGATTTCCAATGAATTCAACCAACTTAAAATCATAAGATAATTTGATGCACTGCTCAAAACTGCAGTAACATTGATAAATGAATATCCAAAAATACAAGATACATATTACTGAATGAATATCATTATTTTTCAATATCATTCCGGATACTTAATATAAAACTTGACAAAGCCCCAAATATTATTCATTGTGAATTACATATATATATGTGCTAAATCTACTACGGTCTGTAATTTGGTAAAATAAATACTTTCAGGGATTGCAGGGATGGTCTCAGGAAAAATCTACTATAAAGCATCATAAGGACTTGGTCTTTGATATTTGTTTTAAGAATTGGAAACAAAAAATATGAAAACTTGAAATCCAAAAACCAATCAGTGATGGATTTCAACATTATCATGAAGCTAAACTTATCTGAAGAGAATAAGGGTGTGAATGGATAACTTCTCTATAATCACATACAGGAGAAAAAAAAGTGAAAGATGGCTAAATTAAAATTATATGCATGTTATAATTTTAACAATTAGATTATGAAGAAGCTGTTTTTTTTTTGTGTTGGAGAAGTATATATAGACAGTTTATCCAAACATATCTTTAAGGCTGTTAGTTTTGCAAAGCTGTTATAGCTATACTTTTATATGTTTATGAAGATGTAGGACCAAACAAGCTGAATTTGTCTAACCATTGCACGTACAACTGGAATAAAGAGTTTGATTGTTAAACCTTTTCAGTAACAAATTGATATGTGCTTCTTGTCCAACACAGCCACGATAGAGAAATACCAGCACTCTTTCAATATCATTGATAAAAAGCAATCACAACAAGTGGATATTTCACTGTTATAAGAAAGGTAATATGCTAGTAATGTCCATATAACAGTGACAACTAAGAAGATTCAGTTTATGCTTCTATCAGCTAAGCATCAAACTCAATAAGAAAAATAAGATTGCAAACTG